CACACTGTACAACAGTGATAAACAACTGTGTCCTCCACAGCTGCCGTACTTCTCACTCTTGCCTGGACAGATCTCACGTGTACTCACCTTTGTCCCTTATTATCTTTTACTACACCTCTTCTCCTCAGTTCAGCTCCATGGTCTGGACCAATATGAAAGTGAAACATGAGAATGAAGTCTTAAATATTGTAGGAGGCGAAGTTGACGATCTGGAAGACGATGAAGGGGACGGAATTCACTAGTGGTAGAAAGAAGGCAGGTCCCTCCTACTACAAGGTCAAAGGTTATTGTATACGTGATGTAAAAGGATGGTGGGGGGGGGAGTCAATGACCTTTCTATAACATAGTAATGAGGATATGACCTCGCCTTCTTCCAGTCTCCTTCTGTGATGAGAAGAAAATCTTAAAAATATATTTCATTGTGTTTGTTTAGTATTAAATTATTATAAACGTATTTCAAATATATTTAGTTAGATTAGGCTAAAATAAATTGCACTTGTTATAATAAGGTTAGGTAAGTTTTCTAAGTTTCTTTTGGTGCAAAATTATAAATTTTTACATTAGCATTAATGAAAAAAAATAAATGTTTAAACGTATAAAAGAAAATTTAGAAAGGAATTAATTTTAAATGAGTTCTTGCTAATTGACCAGTTTTACATATGCGGCACGACATATATATATATATATATATATATATATATATATATATATATATATATATATATATATATATATATATATATATACATATAATATATATATATATATATATATATATATATATATATATATATATATAATATATATAATATTATATATATATATATATATATATATATATATATTAAATTGATTTAAATACTAATCATATATATTGACAAAAAAATCCTAGGTGAGTTCATTGGTCCGCTACATATAAGAGAGTAGTAGGCTGCTGGAATTCAAAGCTTACCTCGCCACACCATTACTGACTTAAAACGTTTATTCTAAAATATTAACGAGTTTTAATTGCTCTTTTAATAAATTGATTGTTTGATGTGCAATAACAGTGATTACTACTACTATTAATATTATTACTGTTACTACTACTGCTACTGTTACTACTACTGCTACTACCTCTACTAGTACTATAACTGTTACTACTGCTACTGTTAATACTAATACTTCCGTCAAACTATCCTCCCTTCCCTGGCATTGATGTTCTAAGCATCAATGTATTCCCCCAGGGAATCAATCAACTTCCCCGCTCCCCGGTGGTCAATCAATCCTCCCCTCCCTTGTTATCACCCCCGTAGTAACACGAGGTTGTCTCCTAATGCAACTTTAATCTCGCCTCAACACTATCTTTAAGAATAATACATTATACCTTATCAATAAATAAAAGTTTCTCTCTCGTGTATTGACACAACTGACAATACGAGGGGAAACTCAATAATTTCCAAGAACTGTGTTCTTATATTCCTCCCTGCCGTGTGATTCACGGTTTAGCCTTGAAGTTTATTTCGTGGCAAATTTAGTGCATCGACATAGGCTTTTCGGTGTGTGTGTGTGTGTGTTGTGTGTGTGTGTGTGTGTGTGTGTGTCTGCAACAACATTACTTTTAAAACCGGTTCCATACGCTTACCTAAAAAGGACAGGACTTGCCTCTTAGAATTTCTAGATTTAGTTATTATATTGCCAGTATTTACACTTTAAAATGCCTAGACTTCATTTTTAAAAGGTCTGTGTGTATCTAATAAAAAAAATACAATTATTTCAATTATTTACCTGACAAAATGCTTTTTTTTTAATTTGAATTAACCTCATAAAAGTCTGGATATACCTACTAAAGGGCTTATATTTCGGTAAAACTCAATTGAAAGCTCCCATTGTGCTCTTAGAGCACAACGGGAGCTCAAAATGATGAAAATACTACCGAAATTCATCAACGAATGCCGAAACATCGCCACTGAGAGATCCAAACCTATGTATACAGAAACAGAAACATAAGAAATGCATTGCCTGCACATTTCTGCCTCCAACTGGGGTCCTTTTCAGCAAATATGCTCAAAGTGGATGTCGCAACCTTCAACCTCCTGCTCGTGTTTCTGCCATCAAAGAATATACCTGACGATCGTACTGCAACCTGCTCGGCTAGTAGGAATACGTCACCTTAATTCATGTGTGGGTGGTGGGAAAGAGGTCACCAAGGTGTGGAAGTCTTGTTGATGGCATGACAGGGGAAGTGATCGGCTTAGAGATTCATCTTATATGGGGAAGAAAAGGGGCTGATATTTTATTGAGATTAACTCGACCAACAGCTATGAGCATTTAAAATTTTTCAATGATGATTGGCCCCCCAAAAAAATAATCGTGGTAAGGATCATCGTGACAGGTAATAGCGAAATCATTGCGGTAAGTAATACGGCGATCACCGTGATAGGTAATAATGATAATCGTGATAGGTAATAAAGCGTCATCATAATGGGAAATAAAGAGAGAAAATTTATGCTGTAACTAGCATAATTTTTACTTTATGGGGATACTGCCAGCCTTTATTCTTGCTGTTCCTACTGAGCAGCAGTGCAAAAGACAGCGCTGCCCCTTCGAACGGTTGTGCCCCCCTGGGCACTACTTAAGAGTTTATTTTCCTTTCAATTCTAATCTTTTTAGTTTCTCATTTCATCGATGCATTTTAAACTTAATAAAATGCTTTAAATATTCATCACACCGAGCATATGGGCTTGTAAAAATATTTCACTACATACACGGAGGCGTCGATCCCCGGAACACCTTCCAGGTATACACTTCTATGTATTGCACCCACGCGTGTAATACTTTTACTGGAGTAGAAGGGGATAAAGCCCCCTCCCCTTCTCTATCTGGTCAATTAATGGCTAATTTTCACCATGAAAGCACGATAGTTCAGGATATGTCACATACTGAAAAACATTTGTTTTTAAAGACGATTTCTTTAATTTTTTTGTTCAGTGTCTTATGAACTTTAAGCCACACCCAAATTGAAATCGTGATTGAGCCACTGAATGTTTTTGTAAAGATTGGAGTTGACTGGGAGTTTCATGTGGTGAGACTGTACGTGTGGGCAGAGACTCACACAGATGCCATGCTAGAGTAAACACAGCAGCAGTTCAGAGCAAGCTATGGAGGGAATCAACATGTGTTACAGAAAGTCATCCCGCGTGACCTAGGTACAGAGCAAACTTTTATAGTAAAAGCAGTTCACTCTGTATAGAGCTCTAGAGCACAACATGCAAATAAGAGATTAATCTGCAGCTGTGTCTAGTCTTCATTATAATCGACAGTACGTTGATGCGTCTAAATTAAAATCTGTAATAGCCTGTCTCTTCTTGCCATCTCACACTATCAGTACTAACGTGTGTTCTAAGATGCTATATGTATGACAAATGGTGGCAGCAGTGGGATTGTCCTCAAAAGTGGAGCACGACGAAATACTGAGCACACTGGTTCAAACCCGGCACCCTCCTGGATTCACTACGGGTATCCATGCGTTCACCACTGAGACTCACGGGTTCACTACTGGGAACAAGCTTCCTACCCTCCCCAGCTCTCCTAGGTTTACTGTTGGGACCAATTCGTTCACTACTGTGACTCGTGGTTTCCAGTAGTAGCCATTGGCTCCCAGCTAAGAAGAATTTTTGCGGAGGGGCACGAGTATTCCCCACAAACAAGGGAGATTGTCATGCTACACTGAAGTGATGAAGAAACTAACAAACTTTCAGGCAGAGGAGGCGAGAAATGCTAAGTGGGGCGCTAAAGGTAATGCTGAAAGAAATGCTGAAGGGAATGCTTCCTTCAGGGAAGGTGTTTTAATTAATGATAATAAGTGGATCTTGATCCAAAGACGTGTATATATCTTCCCCCTTTTTGGGTCGAGCCTGACTGCCTTGCATTCCCCATGTACTGCATAATTACAACAGGTTTATTGTTTCCCGGATTATAATATAAACACTTCTCTTTCCCTCTCGTGGTTCTACGTAGTAATAACACTAAATTAATTGAGTGGTTGAGTTACACGTTGCGTTATGTGATTTAGGTAAACAGTGGATATCAGTATAATGAAGGAAATGCCAAAGGAAATGTTAAAAAATGCTGAAAGTGATGCTGAGTTTAATGCTAAAGAGGAATGCTTAAAATACCAAGGAGAATGCTTTGCGATTACGAGCCTAAACACGAATCTCTTGGTAAATCCTCAGCCTTGCGGCCAGGATCTGGCCCCGAACTATGAATACCCATTCCTGAATCTGAATGCTCACTTTCATCGTATAAGAATTCCAGATAAACTCTTGATGGGGACCACCGAGGTCTGGTCAGAAAGGCGAGCCGAAGAACTTCATTCATCTGGAATCGACAGTTTACTGTGGAGAAACGAGCTACGTGAACCCAAACCAATAGCGACTGTATTGGAAAGCGCTGTGGAGGTCTTGTGGTCAGGTCCGTCAAGTAGTTTATCTCTCTAAACTCTCTTTACGGATAAGCCAGAGTCTTTGTTATTTTTTAGTTGTATAAACTGAGTCATATTACACGAGTGTTGATTAATCTAAGAGCACATAAACGCCATGAACGATAGATGGGGAAATGGAGCGGGAGTGAGGACAAGTATGTAGCTGGAATTTAGAGCAAAAGTTGCTTGTACCTGTAACGTGTTACCTTTCTTTGTTACTATTAATATAATTAACTATTAGTATTATTATGTAGTAATTATTATTAGTAGTATTAGTATTAACTATTTATTATATTAATATCACAAAAATCCGCTTAATTAGCATGGGTCATTCACTGCAGGTGCTACTAATGCAGTATTGCTGGCAGCATCAGTATTAATGACAGCACTGTTAGGTTACTATAAACAAAGTATAGAGAAAAATTTTCAATTTCGTAAAGTACTCGTGATATTCTTCTTTGTGTTACTAAAGTAAATTGCTTGTTGACCGCACTGGTAATAAACTGTGTGTCTAGGTAATTGTATGTTTGTGTTGCAGGCGCCGGAGGAAGCGGGGCCCTGGGAAGGGGTTCTGGACGCCTTACAGTTTGGATCCATGTGTTACCAGCCGCTGGAAAATGACGTGTGGGACACCGTCGAGTCCAACGTCGACCTCGGCCACATCGAGGACCAACTGAAGAAAGCACTGGCGATGGAGATCGGGGAAGAACTTCACGAAGAAGAGGTGGAGGAACTGGAAGATGAAGTGAGAAAGACGGTGCGAGAGACACAGCAACCAAAAAAGAATGAGGAATGTCAAGGTGTGAAGTGGAAGCCTGAGTGCCTGGAGGGGAACCTAGACGTGACAGTGCCGGGGGAGGTGGACGTGTTTCGGACGAGTCGTTTAAATTCCACCTCACAAACCCTTAGTGACACAAGTAGCAACAGTAAGAATAGTTCTAGTTTCACTGTCAAACCGATTAGTGATGAAACACATTATAAAAATAGAGACTTTCTGTTATTTAGAAGACTAAGAAATGCAAATAGTGCAGTGAAAAATGTAGAAAAAGATCTTTCCCAGACCCCAGAACCTATGTATGTAGAAGGTGTCGCGAGGTCATTTCCAATAACCTCTCAGAAAAGCAACGAGAACGTCAAACCAAAAGATATTTTAGACAAGACAGACTCCCTAGTGAGACCAAAGGAAGTATACAAACAAAGGTGGTCAACGGAAAACGGAAAGCCACCGGAGACGTCGAGCAAATACAGGAAGGAGAAAGAGGAGACACTAGAACACCGTCAGTTCCTGTACATGAAACAGAAACACATCGGGGAGTACCACATGTCTGAAGACTGCCTCACACTCAACGTATATACACCCATCGTGAGTACACGCACTTTCACCTTCACTTGTGTACTGTGTGCAACTCAGTCGTTCCTGGAAACATGGTATAATGAGACTCAGGTGTTCCTTGGTTTGTGTGTGTGTGTGTGTGTGTGTGTGTGTGTGTGTGTGTGTACTCACCTATTTGTGGTTGCAGGGGTTGAGTCTTAGCTCCTGGCCCCGCCTCTTCACCGGTTGCTACTGGGCCCTCTCTCTCCCCGCTTCATGAGCTTTATCAAACCTCGTCTTAAAACTGTGTATGGTTCCTGCCTCCACTACGTCATTTTCTAGGCTATTCCACTGCCTGACAACTCTATGACTGAAGAAATACTTCCTAATATCTCTCTGACTCATTTGTGTCTTCAACTTCCAATTGTGGCCTCTTGTTTCTGTGTCCCCTCCCTGGAACATCCTGTCTTTGTCCACCTTGTCTATTCCACGCAGTATTTTATATGTCGTTATCATGTCTCCCCTGACCCTCCTGTCCTCCAGTGTCGTCAGGCCGATTTCCCTTAATCTTTCTTCATAGGACATTCCCCTTAGCTCTGGAACTAACCTTGTCGCAAACCTTTGTACTTTCTCTAGTTTCTTGACGTGCTTTATCAAGTGCGGGTTCCAAACAGGTGCTGCATACTCCAGTATGGGCCTGTCATACACGGTGTACAGTGTCTTGAACGATTCCTTACTAAGGTATCGGAATTCTGTTCTCAGGTTTGTCAGGCGCCCATATGCTGCAGCAGTTATCTGATTGATGTGTGCTTCCGGAGACATTCTCGGTGTTATACTCACCCCAAGATCTTTCTCCTTGAGTGAGGTTTGCAGTCTTTGGCCACCTAGTCTATACTCTGTCTGTGGTCTTCTGTGCCCTTCCCCTATCTTCATGACTTTGCATTTGGCAGGATTAAATTCGAGAAGCCATTTGCTGGACCAGGTGTCCAGTCTGTCCAGGTCTCTTTGAAGTCCTGCCTGGTCCTCATCTGATTTAATTCTCCTCATTAACTTCACATCATCTGCAAACAGGGACACTTCTGAGTCTAACCCTTCCATCATGTCGTTCACATATACCAAAAATAGCATTGGTCCTAGGACCGACCCCTGTGGGACCCCGCTCGTCACAGGTGCCCACTGTGATACATCATTACGTACCATGACTCGTTGTTGCCTCCCTGTCAGGTAATCTCTGATCCATTGCAGTGCCCTTCCTGTTATATGCGCCTGATGCTCTAGCTTCTGCACTAATTAATCTCTTGTGAGGAACTGTGTCAAAGGCCTTCTTGCAGTCCAAGAAGATGCAATCAACCTACCCCTCTCTCTCGTGTCTTACTTCTGTTATTTTATCATAAAACTCCAGAAGGTTTGTGACACAGGATTTGCCTTCCATGAATCCGTGCTGGTTGGCATTCATACTCTTGTTCCGTTCCAGGTGCTCCACCACTCTCTTCCTGATAATCTTCTCCATAACTTTGCATACTATACACGTCAATGACACAGGTCTATAGTTTAGTGCCTCTTTTCTGTCTCCTTTTTTAAAAATGGGAACTACATTTGCCGTCTTCCATACCTCAGGTAGTTGCCCAGTTTCCAGGGACATGTTGAAGATTGTGGTAAGTGGCATGCACAACATATCTGCTCCCTCTCTAAGGACCCACGGGGAGATGTTGTCCGGTCCCATTGCCTTTGAGGTATCGATGTCCCTTAGCAGTTTCTTCACCTCCTCCTCATCTGTATGTATGTCGTCCAACACTTGTTGGTGTATTCCTTGCTGGTGTCCCATCTGGTTGTTCCCCCAGAGTCCTTCCTGTCTCTCTGTAATACTTCCTTAAATCTCGTGTTGAGTCCTCACATACCTCTGATCGTTCTTGTGAGTTCCACCTTCTCCTCAGCCTTATCACTGGTCCTTGACGTGTCTTCCTCTAATATGGCTAACCAGCAGTGTGTGTGTGTTGCTGTGTGTGTGTGTGTGTGTACTCATAGTTGTACTCACCTAGTTGAAGGTTTGCGGGTCGAGTCACGAGTTCCTGGCCCCCTTTCATGAATCGCTACTAGGTACTCTCCACTGAGCCGTGAGCTTATCGTTCGCTAAGCTTGTAGGTCCTGCCACCACTCATCTTCCCATAACTATTCCCTATGACTACTCTGTGGCGAAAATACTTCCATAACATCCTGTGATTCATCTGTGTCTTTAGTTCCACTGTGCCCTGTTACTGTGTCCAATTGGTACTCCTGTTTTTAAGCCACCTGGGAATCTACCATTTTGTCTGTCCTTACTCATGTCCCCCCACTCTCCTCCCAGGTCGCATGTTGATTTGCCTTAACCCGGTGGCATCACACACTTACTCTGCTAGTCTCTAGTGCAAACCTTCACTTGTGTGTGGGTGATGTGTGTGTGTGTGATGTGTGTTGGTGTTGTGTGATGTCTGTAGTGTGGTGTGTGTGTTGTTGTCCTTGTGTGTGTGTGTGTGTTGTGTCATGTGTGTGTGGTGTGTCGTGTGTTGTGTGTGTCTGTGTGCCCTCTGGTGGCCTGGTGGTAACGCTCTCGTTCCAGGTGAGGGCCTGGGTCTGATTCTCAGCCTGAGTAGAAACATTGACGTGTTTCTTTCACTGTTGTTAGTCCCATCATACAATGCGTACCTGGGTGTTAGTCGACTGGTGTGGGTCGATCTGGGTACACTGACCCTAATTTGCCCGAAATGTGGACATAACAAGGACTTTCCTTAGTGTTGTCATTGTTCGTCAGATAGGCTGATACCTGTACATGTCTTGTTGCAAATAAAGTATTATTATATTTATTTGTTTTGCGTTTGGGTTGTGGCGGTGGCCTGTGTGGGTGGCCCGTGTGGCCTGGTGGGTGGCCGGTGTCCGGTGGCCTGGTGGCTAAAGCTCCGCTTCACACACGGAGGGCCGGGTTCGATTCCCGGCGAGTGGAAACATTTCGACAGTTTCCTTACACCTGTTGTCCTGTTCCCAGCAGTCAAATAGGTACCTGGGTGTTAGTCGACTGGTGTGGGTCGATCGACATGCCTGCGGGGACATAATAAGGGACTCCAATGAAATAAGTTAGAAGTCCTCGTTGACGCACTGACTTTCTTGGGTTATCCTGGTGGCTACTCCGGGGTTATAAAAATCCTATATAAATCTTATTATAATATTATATGCGTATTCTCTTTACATCCTTACATTAGTGATGACCTAACTGCACTTGTTGGGTGTGAGCTTGAGCTCCTGAGCCCCGTTGCTCAACTAATTTCTCCACACCATGCATCTTTAATCCGAGTTCGCTCACATTTACATGTGAGAGAATTCACATGTAAATGTGAGAGCCACTTTCCTAAGGCTCAAGTTATTTGATTATTATTATATTATTATTGTTAAACTATTATTATATAAATAAGAATAGCTAAGGCTTCAGTAGTTTTTCTTAATTAAAGTAACAACTCTACCGACAGATGTTTGGTCCTCATTGAGATGTTTTATCAGTATGTCACCATTAAAGACACAGCCTCATCAACACAGCCACTTGATACTGGAGTTCCGCAGGGAAGTGTCCTTGGACCCCTGCTCTTCCTCATTTACATCAATGATCTTACAAAGATATCCCAACACCTGAAACCCATTCTCTTTGCTGACTTGGATGACAGCCAATAAATTTACACTTAACACTGACAAAACCTACTATATTATGTTTGGTAGCAGAGCAGGTGTTGCGCACTTAAACATTAGATCGAAAGCATCTAATTGCCAGACAAATGAGGCAATTCCTTGGCATACCTCGACAACAACGTAAATTTCAGCACCCTATCCAACACATAAAAAACTATCAATACGGTGGGATCTTCAAGAACGTACTACTGCCGCAACGCCCTTCTAACACTTACCGATCACTACATATCAATTACCTCAACCTAGTATCTGTGCTGGGGTTCAAATTCTGAGCCATATCACACTTAAAGCAATAATTAACCCAACAAAGCCGCATTAAGAATAATCAATAATCCAATCCCTGGCCACCTCCTACTCTTCATAGATCATATACTTGCCCCCTGTTCAAACATCCACACTATACGTGCAACTATATTACAGGACCTTAAATATCCATTACCTGCACCTAAAACGCTTCTTGATGTTGTGCAGGATCCAAGCTAACACCAGACACAAAATCTCTATGAATTCCGTGTCCGATAATAACCTACAAAAATGCATGATTAAAGGACTAAAATCTGAAACCTCCGAAATCCTCTAGAACTGCAGACACACTCATCACTCTTCATAGATCTAAAAATCTTATCTCCCTGATACACCCCGACAACTAGCTACATGTAACAACCTGTGGTTCACAATACACTCCTCACTATTCACGAAATACTTAATCTTATCTTAAACAATGAATCTACTAGTATAGTTTGCTAGATATCCAATATAGGACACTTTGTATCTCAATCACAAACATCTCTATGACATTCCCGTGTCCGACTAAACCTTTACAAAAATTCAATGTATTTCAAAGGACCTAAAATCTGGAACACCCTACCTGAAAACTCTAGAACTGCAGACACACTCATCACTTTCAAAACTACCATTAGAAAACATCTTATCTCCCTGATACACCCCGACAACTAGCTACATGATAACCACCTGGTGGTTCACAATTACACTCACTCACCCACTGACTATAAACACGGAAATACTAATCTTAATCTTAAAATAATGAATCCTAACTAGTCATAAGTTTGCCTATGATACCCCAATATAGACACTTTGTATTCTGCTAAATCAAAAGCATTCACATTGCTAAACTCACAAATTATAATGTAGTCACCTAGCCTTATTACCATAATCTGTAAGGATTTAATGTTAACAATTAATCTAAGTCTGCCCGAAATGCCTAGCTATGCTAGGTGTCCTAGTGGCCCCCTCTGTAATTAGTATTTTATAACATGTAAACCATACAATATCCAAATCCTGTAAACCCCACATTGTAACCCTTATAGACAATAAACTTG